CCTGCGACTACGTCGCCATCGCCAGCCAATCCGCCGGCGGGACAGCGCAGCCCAGCCGATGGCAGCGGCGAGTCCGAGAGATCGCGGCCACGTCCACCTGCCACGTCAACTGCGCCTTTGGGATGCGCGCCGCAGAGTTCGGAAAAGGCTGCTTCAATGCTGGCAACCAGGTGGAGATCAAACGCAGGACGTATCTGGCTGGGTGGGCCCTGGGGCTGTCACGTCTGTCGACCCGGCTCGAGGCAAGGTAGCGGTCAAGCGCCGCCGAGCCGATTTGGTCTGCAGAATGCAGGACGTCCGGCCTTTCATCGGTGCCGCCTTCGACGACATGGGTACCAGCTTGACGAGAGGTCTCCTGGCCTGGGACCGAGTGGAGGACCTCGTGGAGCACGTCGCACCAGGCTTCGGCACCAGGACCTTCGGCCACGGGCGAGTAAGGGGCGAGCCGAACACCGCGCAGACGCGGCAGCGCCCATGCATCCTCGAAGCTCTACGCCACGTGTCCCGCAGATATTTTCAGCTTCCAGACGTTAGTGCCATGCGTCTGTTCCGCGGCCAGAAATCTGTGGGCGACCAGCTGGGCTACGCCTGCAGCCTGGTCATCTGGTGGACCCCTGGGAGTCCAGTTGGCACTCGGCAGCTTCATTTGGGCGGCATCAAGTCGACGCCTGCGCGCTGATGGGCGAGCAGTGGAAGGGCGCTCGCATCATCCGGTTCGTCTTGGGCGACGCGACGCGCGCGGCAGCGGACGCAGGCAATGTCCAGAGGAAGTGTCCGATGATTGCGACGCCGACGCCCCCGAGGGCGCTGCCAGGACCAAAAGGGAGGGCCCCCCTCGGCACTGCCGGCCATGCCGGAGGAGACCAGTGGCGACTTCTCCGGCCGCGCCCAGCAGGCGACGCTGGCAGCGCGGCGCGATGCGAGATGAAGGGGCTGGAGAGCCACGACAGCCAGCATATGATTTACGCTGCACTCGAGCGCGCCGCGGCCAGTCTCGGCCGCCGGCCACGCGGGCGGCCCCGGGCCCCGGCGCCTCAAGGCGCAGCGCCAGTGCCAGGGCACCCACGCGCAGCGCCACCACTACCTGCGCGGCGCCGCCCAGGACGACTACGCCACTGGAGGAGGAAGACGTCGGAAGAAGACCTCGGCGCGGGGGTGCGCGGTGCATTCCTGAGCTTCAACGAGATGGCGTCAGGCAGTAATGTTCTCCGCGATTCCTGGGCCGCCGCGATTAGTTATAACGAGCACGCCGCTGTCAAGGCCGCGGCCGTCGGGCGCGACGCCGACCTTGGCCATGGAGGAAGGCCACGGGCGGCGGGGCCATGCAGCATTTGATCGTGGAGCTCATTTTCCGAGGTTTGCCAGCGATGCGTGCTCAGGCGCGGTGTGCGCGACCGATCGCGATAGCAATGCGCGCCGCGTGAGGGCGCGTGCGTGCGCGCGTGGTTTTCGAGCCCAATTGGGTTGGGGCTGCAACCATTTTCCCATTATTTGTGCGTCTTTGCGGGGGGGTCTATCTAGGTGTTTTGCATGCCCTTACTTGTATTGCCAGGCCAGGGGCTTCGGTGCTTGGCCCGAGGCGCGTTGCGTCGCTCGGGTGCGCGTGTGCCCGTGGATTCGCTTCGGACCTCCCGGACTGGGGCGCTCCAGTGATCCTCGCCGCCCCGCGCCCTGCTCCCAGGGCCGCGGCGTCGGGTCGAGACTGGCCATCTCGACCGGCCTGAGGCTGCAACCATTTTCCATGATTTGTATGTCTTTGCGGGGAAGGTCTATCTAGGTGTTCTGCATGTCCTTTAATTGTATTGCCAGGCCGTGGGCTTCGGTGCCTGGCCCGAGGCGCGTTGCGTCGCTTGGGTGCAGGTGTGCCCGTGGATTCGCTTCGGACCTCCCGGATTGGGGCGCGCCAGTGATCCTCGCCGCCCGGCGCCCCGCCCCCGGGGCCGCGGCGTCGGGCCGAGAGTGGCCATCTCGACCGGCGCGTCCACATACCGCCGAGTCGGACAGGTGCTTCTGCGATGCCCCGGGAACGGGCATTTGTTTTCGTCGACCCATGGATGTCCAGACCGCCCGGCCGGGTCGGGGTGAAACGGGTCGGCTCTGGGGGGGCGGAGTCAAATGAGCGGCATATATGTTCTGCGAAAGAGCCGACGCGGCGAACCCGCGCTGTGCGCAGCGGATAGACCTCCGGTCCGCCGTGCACATTGTGCCCTGGGTGTCCGTGTTTTTCCTTTGTTTCGTGGTGGACTTTTGTCGTGGCGGGGGGGGCGTCGCTCGACAGTCCCTGGGCCTGGGGCGGTTGACGTCTCCGGGCGTCTCCCTTGGCCTCGCGTTTGTCGTTGGCGCTGGGGGGCGCCTGACCGCCGCGCTCCCAGCGGAGTGTTCAGCGACCTGGTTTCTTTCGGGTATCTTTTTGCGGGTTCTAAGGGATCGACTTTAAAAGGCTGTGCCGAGGTACCGGGGGCGCCAGCGATAAACGAGCTGTTGGGTGCATGTGCTTGGGGTTGGTTTCGGGGTGGAGGGTGGCTCTGACTGGGTCGGTCGCTGCGCTGCGAGCTGTGAGTGCCAGCGCTCTCGCTCGGCTGCCAGCGCCGCCTTCGCCTTCGGGCCACCCGTTGTGCCGGGCCTTTCTGCTGGGCATGGCGCGCGCCGAGATGCAGGGGCAAACTGAGGCGCCGCGCGAGGTGGGCGGCGCCCCGTCGCCCGGCAGCGCAGCCAACCTCGGGCAGGCGCCCGGCCGCGAGTTTTCCCGGGGATCGAGGTTAAGCGCAAGGTGCCCGGCAATTGTTGCCGGCGTTTCAAAGTGCGCGCCCGCGTTGTCCATGCGCGCGCAACTTGGAGATCGTTGGGCGAAAAGAGCACGCCGACAGTCTTGTCAGCCACATCGAGAGCGTCTTTGGCAATGTGCTGGGCGACTACGACGACGGCGCCAATTGCGGGGTTTGCCGGCGCTGCAGCGCCGACGGCGCCGCGATGACCGACCTGGGCGAGCGCGTCGACGCCCCGATGCCGATCGGGCACGTCGACCTGGTCAAGACGAAAGCCGACGAGCAGACAGGCGGTCAACTGTTAGACTTCTCCGTCTCCTTGCCGGGCGCAGCCGCGCGCGCCCGGGTTGCCCAGCGCCGCGTCGCAGCGCGCGCTGCGGCGTTGCACGGGGCCGAGAGCAAGCTGCTCATGCGCCGCGCAATACAGCTGAACTCGTGATCCTCGCCGCGCAGAGAAGGTCAATGGGCGCGTCGCCTGCCCTGCCATGGAATGCGCTGGCCAGATCTGCGCGCGCAGCGACGGGGCCGTCAATCGCGAGGGGAGTGACCGCTCGGACCCGACGATTGCCGTTTACTAAACGGCCCTGGGCGTTCATTAGACAGCCTTGCCCTGTTTGGCTCCTTCTTTGGGTGCGTTTACAGAGCGGCTTCGCGCGTCGGGGTGTTTCTTATGCGGGTGGATTGTCTGCCCTCTATTCAACTGAGAGGAGGAGGGGGGGCGCGGCATGATGGGCGCCGCCTGCATGCGCTTGGGCAAGCGCCGCAGCACCGGCGGGGAGGCCTGCCGCTTGCTCGACGCCGTGAGCCGCTCAATAAACTCGTGCAGGTCTTCGTTCGGCTCGGAGCTTTTCGCGGCGCGCGGCGCGGCGGACGGGTTGCGGGCCTACCTCCTGGCGCTCCACGAGATGATCCTGGGCGCGGCCTCAGCCAGCGATTGGGGGGCCGAAGGGGCCACGCAATTCCAGCAGTCGCGGTCGTGGACGGGATGGCCGTTTTCGCGGCTCTCGCCATGGATATTGTGCGGCCGCCTTCGGAGCGCAGCATGGTAGGCCACCAATGGTGGCTCTCAGATCAGTTTCGCACCAAGCAGCTCGTAGACATGCGCTGGTGCGACACCTGGGACACAAGGGCCGACCCCATGTCATAAATGGGAGCATCGGCCGGGAATTAATCTTAGACGAGATGGGCGGGAAGCCCAGGTACGACCGCGCCACGGTCAAGTTAAGCGACGAGAGGTGCCCGGAGACCCTGCCCAGTTCCCGCCGCAGCAGTCCCGCCCGAAACGTGGACGACTTGCCGGCCGGGGTAAGTCACCGATCCGCTCATTATCAAGCAATTGTGGTGTCGGGCGCATTGGGCAGGGTTGGCGTGACTATGGGCAGCGGAGGGGAAAAAATCACCAGAGGCCTCCCGGTGACTTTTCCGGCCTGCGTCGCCAGTGCAAGCCCAGATTCGCAGTCGGCAGAGAACGAGACAGAGGTATTCGGATGTCGCGAACTATGTTCGCGAATGCGACATAGTGACAATCATAGGCAGCCGCGTATCGCGGACTTCGTTCGCGAATGCGACATGGTTAAGCGTGCCAGTGGGTGTGCTGTCCCCGTGGAGTTGTTCTTGGTGCACCGGGCTTAGTGAAAGCCGAACATGTATGTGAACGAGGGATGTTCTATCGTTGATAATGAATGTGATCAGCTGAGCGTCCTTTCTGTGCCAGCCTGGTTTCGTTCATTTTTTTGTATGAGCAGCCTGGCCAGTAGAAGGTCTCATCGTGTGCTGGTAGCTGGTAGCGGTGCCCTGTTAGCTTGTTTCGGTAGTTATTTAGTGCAGGCAGCTTGCTGTGTCTCGGCGGTGGTCTGGCTGGCTTGCACCCAGCCTGCCGACGAGGCACAGCAGACTCGTTTGACGACGAGGCACAGCAGACTCGCTTGACCACCAGAGTCGAACTGTACCTTGCCTGTGCTGCTTGCGTTAATCGTCTCCTTTTTTCCCGCTGCCGTTTCGGCCCGCGTGCGTAGGTCGGCCGACCTACGAGCCCGTTGTAGTATCGTTTTGGACCCGTGCTCACCGCTAACATTCCTCTTCGTAGATCCTTTCAATATTTTGTACACAGTTTTTCTTATTCCTCCTCTTCCTCCTCTTCCTCCTCTTCCCCTTTCCCTCCTCTTCCCTCTCCTCCTCCTTCCCTCCTCCCCCTCCCTCCCTCCCTCTCTGTCTTCCTCCGCCCGGGGCGCCCAGGCCGTTCGGGGCCGTCGTGCGCACGACCAGCGGTCTGCCGGGCTTCATCGCCACGGGTGACCTCGGGGACCTCGCGGGGAACACGAGAATGCTTGGCCAGGCTGCCCAGGAGGAGGAAGAGAAAGAGGAGGAAGAGGAGGAGGAGGTGGAGGAAAAGGAGGGTGAGGAGAAAGAGTATTCACAAGATACAGAGTAACACAACGTAGAAGAAACATACGAGTAAGAGGAATAATCGCAATCCAAAGGAAAAACAGTAATACACATACTAAGAATAATATCAACATTGCGGTTCATATTCAGACGAGCAAGACTAATGATACTACGAAGCAGCAGAATACACATACTAATACTGTAGTGATTATTAATAATAATATTATTATTAATAATATTAATACGATTATGATTAATATTATTAGAAATACACTAATACTATTACTGCTGGTGCTGCTACTACTACTACTACTACTACTACTACTACTACTACTACTACTACTACTACTACTACTGTTGTGCTACTACTACTACTACCACTACTACTACTACTACTACTACTACTACTACTACTGCTACTGCTACTGCTACTGCTACTGCTACTACTACCACTACTACTACTACTACTACTACTACTACTACTACTACTACTACTACTACTACTACTACTACTGCTGCTACTACTGCTATAACTACTACAACTACTACCACTATTACTACGAAGAAGAAGGAACAGACGAACCATATGAATAATAATAGCAGGGAGGAGGAGGAGGAGGAGGACATTCGCCCAAACTTGTTGTTTGTTGTGCTGCCACGCAGACGCAACAACTGTACAGCTTATGTAAACCCAACGTCAATGATGAGGAGGAGGAGGAGGAGCAGGAACAGGAGGAGGAGAGGAAGAGGAGGAGGGGAGGAAGAGGAGGAGGAGGAACAGCAGGAACAGCAGGAACACGAGGAGGAGGATTTTGCCTTGCAGCTGTGTAAAGGGCCTTGTCTGTCAGGGCAGTGCTGGCCTGGCTGGTTTTGGGAGCGGGAACTGGGGGATTGCAGCAGAAGGGGTTGGGGGGCAGGGTTCGAGTTGAACGATGCTCATGCGATTCCGTGGGCCGTTAGGGCTTCGTGTTGCGGCCAAGGCGCAACGAGTACAAAACAAGGGATAACGAAAGCACGAACCGAACTGGAACTGGGAGCCGGCGGTAAACCGTCAACCAGGTTACCGCCGGGACCCTCGTAGAGCTTTTGACATGCGAAGTAGTGCTCAGAATGCGACGAGAAAGCTTCCTTGAACATCAGCTTAAAAGCTCGAAAAAAGTAGTAGGGATAACGAAGGCACGAAACGAGCTCGAAGAGCACTGTTCCGGTCGAGCCCTGGTGTGGGGCGAAGGCGGACGCGCCTCCAGCGCTGCGGTGGGCCGCTGCGGCCGCCTTGGGCCGCAGCCCCCGCCAGCGCCAGGCGGCGTTTGGGGGGCTTCGGAGGCGCCTGGCTTAACGCCTAGGGGGCCACATGCGAACCCTACCCCTACCCCCCCACGATTTCTGAGGGGGAGGGTGGGTTTCACTTCGCTCGCGAGCTCCCGCACGAAGTGAACCCCACCATCCCCCTCAGAAATCGTGGGGGGTAGGGGTAGGGTTCGCATGCGGTCCCCCAACGCCGCTGTTCGGGGGCGCCATTCGAAGGCCCGCCCGCGCGGCAGACCGAGCTCTCCGGGCAAAGGGCCGAGCAGCGTGCATTCTAGGTTCATCCACCTCAGCATTGCGCTCCAAATGGCCCCGCGGTTACCATCACGTGCCCAGGGGCCTTGCTGCGTCGCGCCCGAACTGCGCCGCCCGTTCGCGTCCAGGCTTCCCGAGTCATGTTCCAGAGTCGCGATCTACATGCAGGACCTTCCAGAGTTACACTAGGAGGAATTGCTGGAGTTGGTCGTTACCTGGCTCTGCATGCGCTGCCCTGGGAACCCGTTCGTCACCAGCGTTGCAAAATTGCGCGGGGAGTCTTGGAGTAACCGTGGGGAGATTGCCGAGGGCACCATAGCCGTTGGTTTCGCAACCCAAGAGGTAGCCGAGTACTTTCTCAAGATTGTTGATGGGTTGGAGGTGTTTTAGCAACAGTGCGTTACCATCGAGCAGTTCAACCAGGGCGAAATCCAAGCAACCTGGGGCCATCCGAGATCATCTTGTACCAGACGATCTTACTCGTTGCGATGTCCGCCAAGATTCGTTCCTTCAACGCGCGTGCTGGCTCGTCACCGTTAATTGATCCGGGCCTTAGTCACCGTGCGATCCAGCGCAAGGAATTTCTTCTGTGGCATGTGATGCTACCAGTTCGCGGCTTGACGCGTGGGTGAAGGGCAGCCGTTGGTAGGTGAACCCTAACAGTGGTCATGAGCTCCGCCGCATGGGGCACAAAGGTTCTCATTTCCCGGATTACCTGCTTGCACCTGACCGCACCTTGTGGGAGGCTGCCGGTTGCCATGGCCTGTATGCAGACCAGATCGCCAACGTCGATACTCGTTAGGCCGACATCGAGCATTTCCAGAACGGCTGTTCGAGCACGGACTACTGACCCTGGCGATGCCGCCAACAGGTTGCACATGCTGTGGTCCGGCTACCACGGCGGTGACGCGAGGAGCGCTGGTGGCCAGGCGCAGTCGCCCGTTGCACGCAGGCGTCGTTGAGACGCCGGCTGGCAAGATCTGCATCCTCACCTTCCTCCTTACCTGAAGATGCCACCGAAGATGATGTTGCAATCTGGCAGTTTTGACTTGTCTGATCATTGGAGCCTGTCAACTTGACTTATACGCATGTCGAATTCTTTTTGGTATGCGTAACTGTTAAGCTGAACTTAACATTACGGCGCTTCTGACCGCTACCCATCCGGGCGACGTTGTTGTTTCACCTGCCCAGATCATTTGTTTTGTTTCAACACTTTCCACGCCATTAGTACGGCCAGTGCAGGCTGAGGGGAGTGTTAATTATGACGAGGGTGGTTGGGTCAGGACAGTGGTGATACTGTTACCGAGCGTGCGCGGCGATCGACGCAGTTTGGTTCACGTGATTGATCTTTAACCTTCGCGCCGAGGGTATCGGTTTAAGACAACTTCGTTATTGTTCCCGTGCCTATCTTCCCCGATGATTCGTTGTGGGAGGACGAGGAAAAGGAGGAGGAGGAGGACGAGGCAGAGGAGGAGGAGGAGGAGCAGCGAGAGGAAGAGAAAGTATAGCAGAAGGGAGGAGGGAGGGACGGCGGGAGAAAGGAAGGGACGGATGATAATGGCAATGAGGATGGCGATGCTGCTGATGATGATGATGATGATGATGATGATGATGATGATGATGATGATGACGATGACGGTCACGCTGGCGATGATGACGATGACGATGACGACGATGATGATGATGGCGAACATGATGCTAATGATGATGCTGGCGATCATAATGATGATACTGATGGCCGTTCTTTGAACTTTAATCCAGAAGCAGAACGAGAGCCGCCGAATGTCGTTTGTCACTGGCACTCACATTTGTTGCTCCACAGCCTTTTCTCTCGAGATGCGGCCAGAGGGAGCCAGCCTTGCGTCTTTGGGCTTCCTCCTGGCCTGGATCGCCTTGGGCCCCGTGGCCCAGCCGCGATTCGCCGGCGGCCCGCCGCCGCCGCCCCCGCCTCCGCCCGCCGCGGAGGTCGTCGCGGAGCCGGAGGCGCCCTCAGCAGAGGACTGCGCCTCGTGGTTCCCTCCTGCTCCGCCGCGCGCGGAGCCGATCGTGGAGCAGCGCGCGCCCTCGCTGGAGGAGTGCGTCGCCCTGCTCCCGCAGTGCTCGGCCGGCGCCCAGTCGCCCGAGCATGTGTCGCTCCAGCAGGTGCTCCTCTCGCTCGCGGGCCCGCTGCTCGTGGAGGGGCTTCGCTGGCTGGCGGACCGCCTCGAGCGCTGCGGTCGTCGCCAGGGCAGGCTGCCGGCCGCGCCCGCGCCAGCGCCTGAGGGCGGTCGGCCAGCGCCGACACTCTCACCTTCGGGGGCGCGGCAGCCACTCCAGCATCCACCGCGTGGAGGCGGCGTCTATCAATGAATGAGGGCGATGAGCTGTTCGTTGAGTGCGATGTGCAGCCTCCGCTTCTTGACGGTCGGACTGTGGTGGCTGTGTCTGCAGTACGTCCGACCGACTGCGTGGTCATCAGTCCAGACGACGACCTCTACGTCGAGGAGCTGGGGGCCTCGAATTCGGACATCCGCGCCTGGTACCGTCGAGTCAACGGTGGCGGCTCGCCGCCGGCGGCTGGAGGGATCCCCGTGTACGATTTCACCGCCCCGCTCTCGCTGGCGGACTTCGCAGCGCTGCGCCCAGCAGCCGTCAGGATGGTCGCCGAGCACGACGCCGCGCTCCTGGCCGCAAGAGTCGGGCATGCAGTCGTTTTTGCCGCCGCCACCGCTGCCCCGGGCGCAGCTGCTGGGCCGCAGGGCGGCGGGCCGCCCGCCCCGGCGGCTGCAGGCGGGGCTGCTGGCCTCGTAGCCGCCCTCGCAGGACCTGCGGGCCCGGCTGGCCCAGGGCCTGCCGCGGGCCCGCCTGGCGCCGCCGGCGCCGCCGCAGGCGGGGGGCCGCCTGTCATCGGAGCCCCCGCCCCTGCGGCCCCTGCCGGCGCTGGCGTCGCCGCTGGCCACGGGGGCCTCCATGCTGCGCTCGCTGCTGGACTGGGCCCTGCGCCCGCTGTCGCCGGGGACGACTTCCGCGCGCTGCCCGTCACGTATGACATGGAGGGGAGACGCCACAAGGAGTTTCGTGATGCGGTCAAGGAGGTGCGTCAGCAGAGTTGGCCAGACTGGATCGTGCCTGGCCCATGCACTGCCGTTTGGTGCGCCAACTTCATGTTGGAGAACGGTGGATCGGCGGTGGGGCACCGCGTTGCGTTCCGTTCGGCCTGCCGATTGGGACCCGACGACCCTGCGATGCTGCTCCACTCGGAGCTGTCCAAGATCCTCCAGACGGCCATGTGCTATGATCAGCTCGATGCCAGCAACCCCGCCTCGATGGAGCTCATCTGCAGGCAGTTGCAGCTGTGCGAGGAGAAGCTCAAGGATCGCATCCTCGGCACGGCCGGCTCAGGACACCAAG